CACACACACACACACACACACACTGCTTCTCTCGCTCACACACATAAACACACACTGCTCCACCGAACTCAGGCCCTCCTCATCTTCCGTGGAGATTTTAGCAGCAGTGCAAACTCAAGTGGAAGGAACCAGAGTTTAGACTTTAAAACGCCCTCTTTCTTCCCCCCCCCAAACATGCATTTCATCAATCTGGGTTTCAGAGCGTTCAGGGCGTTTGAATCCTCAGCCTTTGTGAATAAGGCAGCCACACATTAATAGACTGTTTCTCAGTAAATTAACCATAGCGAGCTTTTCCCCCCCAGTCTTGTTTCAGGTGTTTCAAATACTCTTAACAGGACTTGAGATGAGCTGAGACTACGGCGTGTCTGCGATAAGTGCTGATATGAGCTTTGATGTTCACTGCTTCCACATTCCCCAGCTTATGCTGGAGGTGCTGTCCCATATTAGCCCATCCTGCCTGTGATCTGACAGCGAGAGGGGGAGCTCGCTGCACGGATGCATTATTCATTACTGAGCCTGACTCAAAGCATCTTCTGCTTTCACAGGAACTCTACTCCCAGTAGAAGAAAAAAAAAAAAAGATATTCTGCTTCTATATGAACTTTGTGTAGACCTTCCAGCCTGAGTGTGGCTGCATATTATAACTGAGAATTCAGCATCTGTGTTTTCCTCACAGAACTGTTGTTTGTTTGGAAAATGCTTTATGATAATCTCATTTCATGTTTTAACAAATTATTATTATCAATGTCAGTGTCTCAGGCTTAAAATTGAATTGAAAACCTTTTATTTTTATTCATTTGTTTTTTGACATTTATCTGGTGAAGCACTTTGTAACCTTGCTTAGATAAATGCTATACAAATAAATCATTATAATATAATTACTATTCATACTTTTTTATTACCCAGCATGCCTGTGTAGCCAGAAACAGATTATTGTTTTCACCCCTGTCTGTGTGTGTGTGACAAAATAACTCAACAATACATGGAGGCATTTTCACCAAACTGCGTGGGAGTATTACGTGGGACAGTATCTCCAGATGATTACATTTTGGAGCCGATCGGCCGAAGGTCAAAGTCAAGGTCAACACAAATTTGAAAACAAAAACATTTTTCAAGGTATCACAACAAATAATAGAGCTAGAGCGACAATCTTAAGCTAATATTGAGCTAAAAAAAAGTAAATGCTCAGGAAGTAAAGAAGAAGGAAGATTGAGGATATAATCGAAAGCTCCAGAACAGTAAGGTAAGATTGTTTTATGTGTTTAGATTGTTCCTAAAGTCAAGAATGAACTTTTGTACTGAACTCTAATGCCAACATGGAAGCAAAGTTTTGTGAGGAAGATCTTGTGATGTAGCTATCAAACCATAGTAGTGATTTTGATTTTGTTTTTATCTTACCATGGATGTCATTAAGACATGTTGTATTGTATTGAAACTTTCAGTTTGCTGGACCGTTTACTTTCATTTTCTTTCAAATCTTTCAAAAACCAACTGCAAAACTAAAATAAATCTTAGTTTTAGTTTAGTTAGTTTGAAAACGTGTGTGCTTCTCCTCAAACAGAAAACACAACAGCAAAACGAAATCCCCCTGTGGAAAAACAATCTCTAACAAACCTTCCAATTAGGAGGAACTCTCCGGCTACTCCGAGCCGCCTCATGGCCATGAGCAGGCCGCGGACTGTCATGCCTTCACAGAAGCAGACAACCACTCGGGCCTTTGGCAGACGCTCCCGCAGTTTCCTCAGCAGCCTGTCGAAGTGCTTCTCGCCAGCGTTGCTGTAGATCTTGTCAGAATGGGCGATGCAGATGCCTTCCTGCGAGGCGAGCTCTTTGAACACTTCCATCCCACTCTCCCCGTAGTTACCTGAGAAAGACAAGAGGCGCTGTCAGGGGAGCTTCACTCACAGGAGAGAGGGATAGATCAGTGGCTCTTGAATTTAAAAGTTTTTCAAATGTTTTTTTGTTAAAACTATCCAGGGGAAAGTTTTGCTGAGAACACACATCCGTCCCTTCAGCTTTAAACTGGTCCGTTACGTCCCCAGATTTCTTTTTATGGAAACAGAGTAGCACAACTGGAGCACACTGGGTGAAGGTGACCTCCGCTGCGTTCACTGAGGACAAGAGAAGCACTTGTCATTTTGAGGTTGCCTCTCCATATGTCCACAACCAGCACGTATACAACATCACTGAACAAGCCAACACACATTCTGTGTCTGGCCCTGAAACTCCAAATAAACAGATTATAAAGACTGTAAACAGAGAAGGTCAGCCAGGGTTTTATTTGATTTCATAACACCTCATTAAATAAATAAAACATAGATTTGAGTCTGACTGTGTTTATGTGGGAGGAATATTAATTATCATAATCTTTGCATATATATATATATAAATATATATCCTTTGACATGATTATGTGTTTTCAGTGTGTAATCTGGATTGATCTGTTTTCATAACAAGATATGCAAAGATTTTATCCTGGTGTAGCTGCAGAGTGCATCTTTTATTTTTTCTCTTTCATTGATTAACTGACGTTGAGAAGCTGAACATTGATTAAACATCAAATGCAAAAGAGCTGCAAATTAATTTTTAATTCATAGAATTATTCATCTTATTCCTAAATGCTGCCTTTTCATTTACTGTCAAGTGATTAATCGTAATATTTTCATCTGTGGTTACAAACAGTAGTTGACATCTGAAAGAAACAAATAAAGACTTCTGCTGGAAAACCTGAGGAAGAAAAGAAAAAAGAAAATGAAAGAAAATACTTGTAGCTTTGTGTCCTGCGTAGTATGAAACTGATGCACAAAAGCAACACTTCACTGCACAAAAACAGATCCAATAAAACATCCCGGAGAAAAACATTTTCTTTTTCCCTCCCTGAAACTGTTCTCTGCTTAAACTGATGTTACATGAATGAATCTCAACCACCTGCTGTTAGAACTACAGTGTACATAATGTTATACAACATAAACAACTGTTTTAATAAGTGCTGAGCTAAACATTAGAGATGATTCAGAGCTCCTGTCTCATGATGCAGCTTCTTTCTCGTGTCATCTCGTCTTTAATTTCCTGTTTGTCCAGTTGCCTCAGAAGGAAGAAAGAAATAAGAAAACAGGACTGCTGATTCCTTACAGACGAAATATTCTACTGATTTTATACCGGAGTTCAAATCAACCTGTTAAAACACATAATGTCTTTTTAGGGTTCATCAGGGTTATTGAGTTTGGGCTCAGGGAGGATCTGATGAAACAGAAATCTCTTGTTTGCAACTCAAATGTACGGACATACAATACTGAAGCAATGAATGTGTCTTACCCTCTGTGTGCACTGCAGACACGTAGGTCCAGTTGTATCGTTTGATAATGTCCAGCAGAGCTCTGGCTTGAAGCGTGTCTGAAGGCACCACCCTGAGAAAGTACTTAAACAAAGTCTTGTCGCTGAGATCAATGCTAGTTGCGGAATAGGCAATCTGCGGGATGTTGAACAGCTGCAGGAGGTTCTGGACTTGAATCGCCACAGAGCTGGAGCCGGGCCCGATGACCCCTGCTATGGGCTTCTTGGTTGGCGGCGGCTGACTGGACGGTACCCCCTCGATGCACCACTTGGAGCCGTCCTTGTCGTCCCGGATGGAGATGAGCGAGTCTCGTATGAACTCGATGCTCTGCTCCAGGGCCACAGAGGAGTGCCAGCAGGAGTCCCTGATCTCACAGCCCAGGGTGATGTTGGGCAACAGGTTCGGGTCCGAGTTAATCCGGTCCAAGGCGTGGAACATGGCCTCCACTCTTTGGATGCCGTACTGCTCGCGGACCTCCCCACATTTCCGATCTGCCACCTTCTCAGCCGACGGTTGGTGGTGGACGGAGAAGAGGGCGCCGATTATTATATCCCCGTCCATCCTGGCCACCAGGCGGGAGGCAGAGCTCGGCACCACTGACCTCTCATACTTGCCCTTAGACAACACGACGGCCTCGAACAGTAAAACAGGCAGGTACAGACTGGCAGTCAGATAAATCATACTGGACATTGTGCCACAGGAGCTGAATGTAGAATCATGTCCACTTGATCATAATGGAGGTCCATCAATCCTCTTGTGGATGAGACGGCAATGACCTCGGCTGCTTCTCCTTCAGTGTCGTCACCCTGTATGTGAAAGACGAGGGGCTTTAATTCCTAATTTCACTCATTTAACTTGAGCTACAGTGATTAGTTAATCCACACAGGAATCTTAATAATCAGCTGATCATTTTAGAAATGTTTTTAAGCAAAAAGAAATGAAATTCTCTGGTTCCAGATTCTCTATTATGAAGATTTTAAGTTGTTTTTCAAGTGAAATTGTTCGACAAACTTAAGAAAAATGCTTCAATTGGCAGCACAAAAATCTAGTTTGTTCAACTTAAATTTAACAAGCTATTCACACAATCTTTAATGCAGAGGAGTTGTGTCTGCTTTTCCCTGTTGGTCCTCCAGCCTTACATTTACAGCATTTAATTGATTTGATTTATCTAACCGTTGTTTTATTGAGTCGATCAAATCATAACTCTAGTAAATGTCGATTATAATTTTCTGACTTGATTGATGCAAAAAATGTAAAACAGACTCAACAACACGTAGAATAAGGTGAATACTGCTCAGGGAACGCCTCTGCCATAACGTGAGTAAAGATCCAGGATAGAAAGGACATTGCATCTTTAAGCAGCTCTGGATTGACAGAGTTAGAAGTCTGGACATCCTCATTTTTGTGCACGTTTAAAGCTTTGCATAATAATAATTATCTGGTTTTTGTTTATAAAGGGATATAGATGCAATAACATTGGCCAGGTAAGTTCAGAGGTGAGGTGAGAGGATGCAGCCTCTCATCACCCACAATGATCCTCGCCCTATTTGTAACACAATTTACATAAACCCCACACTTGTTCATGTAAATTACAATAGTTCACTGGCTGTTACTGATTTCTGACAGGGATGAAATATAAAGCTTTTAAGAAGCTGAATGCAAAATTAGTGATGGAGCACCACGGACAGCTGCATCTGTTCCAGACGATTCTCTATTTCAACCTGCGACTGTTCCTGCAACTTTTATCCCCCAGACCTCACACACACACGCACACACACACACACAGTGTCTGAATCATCGTCCTCTTTTTGACTCCAGCTAAAGACGCAATTCTTCAACCGGTATCATTTACAGGTTTCAACATCACGTCACCTACATGCACACCCGCACGCACGCACGCGCACATGCACATTCATCCCCATCAACAATTGAATGAAAGATGTGACTGAAAACTCGTGCACGTTCAAGTCAGTTCACATTCAAGTGCCTAAAACGACTGTCATGACTTTACCTACCTGCAGCAGACAGGTCGGGACATCGCGGCTCTGACTGTCTCCTCTGGACTCCAGCTCCCCTCTCTCTCTCTCTGCTGAGGAAACAATGTGAGGCTCTCTCTCCCTCTCCCCCTCTCTCTCTGCACTGATCATGAGGTGCCCCCTTCTCCTCCTCTTCTTCCTCACTGCATCTTGAAAGCGGGTCACGCTCACTGCAGTGCCCCTGATTTGAAGCCACGGTTCACACACATCCAGAAACACGATTCAGACACTATAACGCTAACTCCTGCCATTTGTTGGGGACAACATCTAACATGGATGTCTATGTAAATGTGGGAATTTAACCTGCTGTGCCATATCTTTGTCTGCAAGGCTGTTCCCGCTCCTAATGTAAACTATATAGAGACAGTTGAAACTTGACGTGCACGGTCCTGCAGCTGCGTCGTGCGTGCAGCTGACAGACGTGATGCACTTTCAATTCACTTCTGCAGCCGTGAAGGAATCGTGCTCTGCTGCAGCCCTGTGGCTAAAATACGGTACTGCAACCAGAGCCTCGCCAGCCACAACAGAAATGTTACTGTTGAATGTATGTATGTATGTTGAATGAATGTTGTTATGAAGTAAACTGTAATCACAACGATTACACTTTGCAGTTACGTGTTTTACATTGCACAAACCTGCTAAAATATTTATATACATAATAAGAAAGAACTGAAAAAATAAGGCAGTATAATTAATTTGTGCATTTGTTTTTGTTTTCAATTTTGTTGCGTAGTATTAGGGTTATGTGATTGTTCTCATGTGAATCATATATTTTAGGTGGATGTTTTGCCCAAGTCATCTAGATACCTTCTGGTTAAATGAATATTGAATAAAAATAAGTTTCATCTCAGTCCAAGTATTACAGTATGAAGTGTAAAAAGTAAATGGAATGAATGAAAATAAAATGAAAAAACTGTATTAGATGAGATCAAATGTAAGAAAATCAGATAAATTAAAAAAGGTTTGTTTTTTTATTTTCAATAATTGAGCATGCTTTTATTGTCCTGAACATCCTCCTGCTCTGACGTCACCTCCTGCATTTAAACATGGCGGACACTCAACAGCCGCTAAATGAAGTGTTTTGGTCCATTTCGGCTGAATCGTGTGGAAATACAGGAACATGAACTCATTTCTGAAGCAGCGATAGAAACCAGGTGAGTGTGTGAGAGGCTGGAGACGAGAAACCAGCTGGTTTTCATGTCCTTGTTCACAGTCGGACGCTAAAATTCGCAGCGATACAGACTCCGTGTGTTTTCATTGTGTAACAGTGTTTATACCTGTTCATACATGTGTGTGTTTGTAGTTCTCTCATATCAACCAGAGTGTATATTCAAGATATTAACTTAAAGGAAAGGACAAAACGTGGAATACTAAAGTCAAAATACAAGTGAACACACATGTAAACACCTTGAATCGCTGTAATAACTGAATAATAAACCTCGAGTTGGTGATTTATACACAACACGGTTCATTGTGGAACATATGTGAACCCACTGGACAAACACAGGCACAAACTTGTGGAGAAACGTCCTCTACATGTGTGATGTTCCCATGTTAACATCAACAACAGGGTCTTTCCTTCACATTCATCGGAGGGATTTGATTCCACACGTGTTGAATTTTCTTTAAAAACACGATCCAGTGTCTATAAAGTAGTTCACTGGTGTTTTGCATTTGTCTGAACGTGCACTGATCACTTCCTTCTGTTCAACAGCATTGTATAGAGTTAGTGATGTGAAGTAGTTAGAAGTGGTAATAACTCAGCAATTACTTAAAAACCAAACACCAAACTGTCTGAGAGTCACAATAACACCATGAACTAAATTAACTGAACATCTGGCCAACTTTAAAGTATAGGTTTTTTTTGCAATTCAACTTCTTGTATCTTTGTCATATGCCACTGTTCATAGTTAAGAGACATTTTCTTTGTAATCAACATTTACACTCCTTGCAGAATTCAACCATGAGTAGCCGAAGAAAGAGAGCCCCTCCTGTGAGGGTCGATGAAGACGCTAAGAAGAAGTTGGAATGGAACATGCTGGACGATCGCAAGAACGAGATGACCCAGGAGGAAGAAGACCAGACACCTAGCTGCTCCATTCTTCCAGGTGACCCCACTCCCAGCAGCTTCTTAATCTCATCCACTGAGGACCCCACAGTTGATGCCTGCACCCGCTCTGTCCGGTTCACAGAGGAGCTCCCCTGTACATCATCAGAGGCCGCTGTCGCCTCAACCTCTCTGTCGCTGACTGTTGTGCCGCCTTCAAAGCTGGTCAACATCTGGAAGGCACTCATTGGAGAGTTCCGTGTGTGCCCGGCTTGGCTACCATGTGACTGTGAGCAGAAAGCGCTCACGCTCCGCAAGATGGGGGACCAGCTCTGCCTCAGTTACAACAGCTGGGACGAGAGTTCTGGGCAGTGGGCGCCTGAAGAGGAGACTTGCACAGCGGAGTGCAGCCTCAGTTGGATCCCGCTGGAGGATCTCGACTGGCTGCAGAAGAGGAGGGTGATGCAGCTCTGCCACCAGACAAAGGATGAGTCGATCAAGGTATGAATGCAACAATGACTCTGAATTCTAACTTCAAACTACCTCTTAGTTGCTCTGCATTTTGTTTTTCTTAAATTTTGTGTCACAGTTTTAAAACACTGGGTTTTCTTACTTCAACTGTTTGATTTTGACAGGTTGGGATCTACTTGTTAGAAACTGGGCTCGGAAAGCCTGATTTCCTCAGTGAGGGAAATGCTCGGTTGAAGAAAGCAAATCAACTAATGCAGAAGATAATGGAGTATTTCTATGATTTTATCATCCCTGGTAAGAGTCCGCTCCCAGTGTCTAGTGCTTGCTGTGATCACCATGAAATTTTCTTTAGAGCATTGTGGGGTTTAAATCAAATACACTAACATCCTGTCTGGATATATTTGTGTTTTCGTTGCTCTTTTCCATGTAGAAGTTGTTGAAAATGAGGAGGAGGAGTGCGACACCGACCTGGAGAGACAGAATGTAGAGGAGCTCTATGATTATGTCCGACATCTGCACCAGCGAGAGAGCCAGGAGGTGACATGTGACGTCCAGCACAAGGCTCTTATTCCTGTGCTCAGACCCTATCAGAGCCAGGCCGTCAACTGGATGCTGAAGAGAGAGAAATACAGGAACAATTCACATAAAGGTAGAGTTTCTTATCTTTGCCCTGACTTCTTTAACGCACACATTCATAATTTAAATGGAATATTTTGATGGATGAATATTATCTTCTTAATCAATCAGTCTTGATATTTAAAGCCTTTACATCTCAGGTTATGAGATCAATATGATTATTTACCTAAAAAAATCATATTTATTTTCATTTTATTTTACAGTCTACAATGTTTTACATTGTAAAATGCATTTTTAGACTGTTAAAAGTGTGCAAGTGCAGAAGTTATATGAGAAGTTTACAATTTCGTTGCAGAACAATTGCTGCATTACCTCTGGCGGGAGTTGGTCACTTTGTGTGGAAAGAAGTTGTTCTACAACCCTTTTACAGGCTGGTAAGACTCTTAATAACTTCATACTGAAGTAAAAGTATTTTAAGTTTTTGACATATCTGTTTTTTCCTGCAGTTTAATCAGAGAATTTCCTCTGGCGGGCATCGAGTGGCCAGGTGGGATCCTGGCTGATGAGATGGGACTGGGAAAGACGGTGGAGGTTCTAGCTCTCATCCTTTGTCACACCCGACTGGACGTGGAGCAGGAGGCTCTTACTCTGCCAGTGGTGAGGATCAGAAGGCAATTTTAAATGAATAATCCAGAGTTACTAAATTAGTGTCACAGATAATTATTTTTGATTGTAGTAATTTTTATTTTTGACATTTGACATTTTCTCTGCTTATTTCCCTTATTTTACATCTTTTGGTAAATAAAGCATTAGGAAATGAAAAATGTTTTTTTCTTGATTTATCTCTTGATTTTTCAGGGAAAATCTGTGAACTACTTTGTTCCACCTCCTCCGTTAGAAAGAAAGAAAGTTATCCACTGCAGGCCTGAAGTTCAGCCTAAAATGAAAATATCTCACCCGAGTACGTCTCTCAAACTCCTCTCAGACATCACAGCTCTTAATGCCTTTGCAGTTTGATTCAGAATTTCAAACATGTTTATTTCTCTGCAGCTGTGCGTGTTATGCTGCTCACAGCAATAAAGGAAATGAGATCTGGCAAGGGAGCCTCAGTCAACGCCGTGTTCACGTATATCCGCGCCACTTACGGTTACGACCTCTTAAAGAACCGCAACCACATCAAGAAGATGCTGGCGAAGCTGATCGATGAAGGCCTAGTTGACCGGGTTAAAGGTCGTGGCTTGGCGGGGTCATTCAAGCTGGGAAAAAACTACAAAGAAACAAAGAAGATGTTAGCAGGAGCATCCAAGTCTGTAAGAATAAACACTTCCATTATGAATCTTTTATGCTGCAAAAATGTCTTTCTTGTTAAATCTCACTTTATCTTTTCATTTCATTAGATTTCAAAGAACACAGAGGGCACGCCCAGGAAAATGTTTCAGAGACGAGCAAAAAAGAAGGCAGAGGCAGCTCTTCAAAACTCTCTCACAGAGGATGAAAGAGATCTGAGCTCGTCTGACTGCCCTGTATCAGAGCAAAGAGAAACAAAGACAGAGTGGGATCTGAAGGAGAAAGCAGATCAGTATGATGACGTGATGGATACGTCCACAACATCCTCACAGATGTCTCAGGATAAAAGTGAGTTAGATACACATGAAACGTCCAGAATGGAAGATCTCGCTAAAGAAAGGGGAGATGCTCCTCAGTTTGATCCACAGGAGGAGACAGAAACCCCCACCAGAGCGTCTGTGGTCCCTTTCAACACTCCAGACTACCGCTTTGAGTGCATCTGTGGCGAACTGGGCATTATCGACTACAAGGCCCGTGTCCAGTGTATGAACTGTCAGCTGTGGCAGCACGCAGACTGTGTTAACTACAAAGAGGAAAGCCTTGAAACTACTCCCTTCTATTGCCCTCACTGCCTGGTTGCCATGAAACCCGTCTCCACTGGTGCCACCCTCATCATCTCCCCGAGCTCCATCTGCCATCAGTGGGTGGAGGAGATCAACCGTCACATTAGGTCGTCCTCACTTCGAGTGCTGGTAAAACAATATATATATTTTTGGTAGATGTTTGTTGTGCACAGGGTGGAAATGTAAAACATTAACATGTCAGCAAACCAGAATAGACACATTAATACCAAATCTTAAGATGCTTTGTCCCAGATTATTTCCCCCTCGCTGGTTTAGTATTTAACTACAAATGTCTTTTTTCCAGCTTTAAACAATAAAATAAGCGTTAAATTCTGTTGCATTAATACTTGGACAAAAACAAAGTTTTTCACTTTCATTCCTTCACTCTTCTGAATTAATATGGAGTGTTTCTTTTCTCTCAGGTTTATCAGGGTGTGAAGAAACACGGCTTCATCCAGCCACACATGCTCGCTGAACAGGATGTGGTCATCACCACCTACGACGTGCTGCGGTCGGAGCTCAACTACGTCGACATTCCCCACAGCAACAGCAAGGATGGACGCCGCTTCCGCAACCAGAAGCGCTACATGGCCGTTCCCAGTCCTCTGGTGGCGGTGGAGTGGTGGCGCGTCTGTCTGGACGAGGCTCAGATGGTTGAATGTCCAACTGCGAAGGTAAGTTGAGGCTTTTGGTGTAGTTTTTGTATCTCTTATCTTATTGCTTTGCATATTTATTTCTCAGATATCGATTTTTGTGTTATAGAGTATTTTATTTCAGTTTGTCTGGTAAAATTTGTTTATGCCCCGTTTTATTTTTTTATTTTCAGGCTGCAGAAATGGCTCTGCGTCTCACATCTGTCAACCGCTGGTGTGTCAGTGGTACTCCTGTCCAGAGAGGCTTAGAAGGTAATAAATACCATGGATGTATTTACATTGGAATGAATTATCCTCAGTAACAATGCATGGCTTGAGTAGGAGGCTCTCTGATTAGACTCTGCATCTCTCCGCACTTTGTTTTTGTCATTTTGCTTTTACTTGATATCTGACACTCAAGAAAAAGTCTTGCAACGAAGTTACTCCTGCCATTTTTAAAAAATCCTTTAAACCTAAACAGATTGTTTTCATTTCCAGATCTGTATGGCCTTGTACTTTTCTTGGGAGTTGATCCATACTGGGTTAAACACTGGTGGCATCAGCTGCTTTATCGCCCTTACCGACATGGAAACACAGAACCTCTGTACAATGTAATTGCACAAATATTATGGCGATCGGCTAAAAAAGACGTCATCGATCAGGTAAGATCATGAAAGTTCTTGTTGTGTTTAGTTCTCAATTTTTACTAATGTCTGAGTTGGTAATTCCAGAAAATTTGGCTGCAGTGTTTGACGATTCCTGATATTTTCCAGATCCAGATTCCACCTCAGACAGAGGAGGTTCACTGGCTCCGCTTCTCCCCCGTTGAAGGTCACTTCTACCACCGTCAGCACGAGGTCTGCTCCCAGGACGCTCTGGTCAAACTCAGGAAGATCTCCGACTGGAGCCTGAAACTTGGGAGCCTCGACCGCCGCACCGTCAACACCATTTTGTACCCGCTGCTGAGGCTGCGCCAGGCCTGCTGCCATCCACAGGCTGTGAGGGGAGAATTCCTGCCTCTACAGAAAAGGTAGATGACACTTTATGTTTTCACGACTCTCATTGGAGAAGAGGGGCCATTTTCCGAAGGCAGCTGCACCAGTTAATTAACCATTTGCTCAACTAAATAGAGTTTCACAGCTTCAGTAACCTTAAAAGAAGCAGTTGTGTTTATTTAAAGCTGATTTACTCTGTGTAATTTGTGTTTGAGGGTTCGTTAAGTGGGTTTGTCTGTCCTCTCTCCAGCACCATGACGATGGAGGAGCTCCTGAAGTCCCTGCAGAAGAAATGTCGAGTGGAGTGTGAAGAAGCTCACAGACAATTGGTGTGTGCGCTCAATGGCCTGGCTGGCATTCACATCATCAGAGGTATGAAACACCACTTCTGCTTTTGTGCTCGCTCTGCTCCAAGTTTCCCATGGGAATCAGTTCAAAACAGAACACAAGCCACAACGTCATCTTTATGTCTCAACACTTATTGTACTGAGATGTTTTGTTGAAGGAAATCTCAGTAAGAAGATATGTATAATGTGGCTGAATGTACCGCGGTGGTTTGTATGGCACGTCTCATTAACCGTTTCCTTCGCCGCCTTCAGATGAGTTTGTAGAGGCGACGGAGATGTATAGAGAAGTGCTTCGCTCATCAGAGGAGCACAAAGGGAGACTGAAGACAGATTCATTACAGGTGTGTGGCCTCATTCTACTCATTTTCATGTGTCTGTGATTAATCTATGGAGGATTTCACTATTGAAACAAACCAAAGCAAAACATCTACTCATATAAAATGAACAATTGCATCAATTCCAATGAAAACAAATACTTGTGTGAAAGTATATAATATATATATAATATCTGATGCAATATCTGCAATCAAAATAAATATTCTGTAATTTCATAGTCTACAACCTAATCTAATGATCGTGTTTGTTCAGAGACTCCATGCAACCCATAATTTGATGGAACTGCTGAGTGCAAAGCATCGAGGGATACCACCTACACTGAGAGATGATCGACTAAGTGAGGAGGTAATATATAAACATTTCTCATCAACACTGGGGATAAAACCTCAGCTGTTTCCTCAGTTCCTACATCCCAATGTTGATTGTTGCATCAAGCTTGTTTTTAATACTACCCATTTTAACTGTGCCTTCTGTCGCCCTCGTCCTCTGCGTCTCGTTAGGCCGAGCAGCTGCGACAGCACTACATGACCAAGTACGACTCTGAGGTGGCGGACGCCCATCAGGCTCTGCAGCCGGTCTTACAGAACATCAAAGAGCTGAGACGCAAAGTAAGAAACGTCTTTTACCACCAAGGTCGTGTTACATAAAATAATAATCTACCAAACAGCAGGATATGGACAAACACTGATCCAGAAACTACATATATATCAAACTCATCAAGAGCCAATTATAAATGGTAGTTTTTGTACATTATCTACAGCGTCAAGTAGAATAAATGAAAATAACACATTTTTCTTTGTCAAGGTGAAGCTGAACTCTCCCTGGTGGCTGGATGTTATTCAGAAGTCAATCCGCTTCTCCACCGATGATGATCTGGTGTCTCGCATCAAGAATGAGCTGACGTCAAGCTACAAACAACAAGCCAGCAAGCTCTCCATGGCTGACAAGTACACAATTCATTCTACATAATAAGATAATAGGTAATAGTTCCTCTTAGACAAAACGTTTAATTGATTTGAGTGTGTGCTTGTCCTGCAGGTTCCGTGACGCCTGTGGTTTGCAGTTCCTGCTCACCACACAAATGCAAGATCTGATGAAATCCCAGAAGACTGTGCAAGACGCAGTGAAGAATCTTGAAGGCCCGGCTTCAAAAACAGTGATTGACGAGGTCACAATTTGTCACCTCAGGCCTATGAGACTGCCACTTAACAAGTAAGACATCAGAAATGTGTTTTACGCAAATTGTACAATTACATCTCAGCCTTTGAAAAGCGTTAAAGTTATTGTCTATTTGAACTAATGCTCTTCTCTTGTTGTATTTTAGCTGTGTCTTTTGCAAAGCAGATGAACTTTTTGTCGATTATGAGTCCAAGCTGTTTTCTCACACGTATGTAAAACAATATTCTTGACACTTGTAAGTTTTAATAATCTAATAGTGTAAAAAAACAAAAAACATAGTGGTGGTTAAATAGAAAGATTTCCTCACAGGGTGAAGGGTCAGACAGCCATCTTTGAGGAAATGATTGAGGACGAGGACGGGCTGGTGGACGACCGTCTCCCCACCACCAGCCGAGGTCTCTGGGCAGCGAGTGAGACTGAGCGCACGCTGAAGGCCATCTTGTCTTTCGCCAAAGCTAAACGCATGGATCCGGAGCTGGTGGAGGAGGGCAACACTTTCATGGAGCTGTTTGAGAACTGGAAGAAGGAGTACAAGGTTTGTACACACACCAACAAAACCTTGTTTTCAAGGAAGCCCAACCTTTTTAAAATGTAACACAAGAATTTAGAGACAAAAGACAAGACAAAATAATGTCTGTTTTTTTGAGACACAATTAAAAAAAAACGTGTTTGCAAATGCTGAGCATAACCGACCAAACATGCAAATAAATGTACGCTCCTGTAGAACTTAGTGACATGTAGTGTTGAAGTTGCATTTTGCACCTGTATAACCATCACCTCACCCTCTCTCGGTGGAAACCTTCAGTTGTCATAAAAACTCAGAAAGGTGTTTAGTTTGTCCAGTCAGGGCTCCCGTAAAAAAACATGGCGGCCTCCGTAGAGAGGACTGACTCCTGATGTAAATATAAAGTATTTAAATATAAAGACATTCTAGGGGATAAAGAAAACAATTCAGACAATTTAGATGAAACACATTAGTGAAAACATCACTAGGGTTATTATATACTCAGTTTATGCCAGTAGATCCCTTTCACCTAAATCTTACACACTGGAGCTTTAATTCCTTCCCTGGGTGTGTGCAGGTTACTTGTGTTGTCTGCCTCACTTACCTATGTGTCGGCTGACTCGCTGCCTCGGGAGGTCGTGGAGAACTCGCGTCTTTCAGCCGAGCTTCCCGGCGTCTTCCTCCAGCGGGCTCGTGAACCACCACGCGGTCTGTTGGGCTTCCCCTGCGGCCACGCCAGGCTCCGAGCTCGGCCAGCTCAGACGCCGCCGTGTCGTTGTAGTTTAACAGTGATGGGGAAGTGTCCCCGTGCAAAGTGAAGGTGTGTGGTGAAAGGTCCGCGCTGTGGGTCAGGAAACGTTTTGTCTTGGACGGAGGTTTTGTCAGATCATCACCTGTCCGCTGCAGGAGGACTCCACGGTGCGCGTCCCCGCCAGGTGTGTGGGGTCGCCCACGATGGAGTTAACCCCGCCCCCCTATGACATCACTCTCCACCTAAACCCAAGAATACACAAATGAACAAACAAACCTACTGGATCTCAACAAAAATGTTTTATAAATCAATTATTTAAGTCTCTGTTTCAGTTTTAATTGTCTGCAGCATTAGCCTCATATTACATCTCTTCTAAATAATTTCATATTGCTGAATTGTTCAACAAATCTGGTTAAAGAATAGAGAATTTAATATGAAATTCAGGACAAGACCAGATTCTTCACCTCCAGGTGTGAGGTTGAAACAAAAGCCAGAATCTGTATTTAAGTTTTTTTATTTTACCTCACATAGAAGGGCAAAGATGGGAGTGAACGCTGCCTCTGTCTCTCCTCAGGTGCTGCATGAGTACTGGATGGTGCTGCGGAACCATGTGTCAGCCATCGATGAGTTGGGTATGGCCACCGAGAGGCTACGAGTTCGCCTTCCTGACGAGCCGAAGCCCAAACTGCTGCACATCATCGAGCCACACGAGGTGAATGAAAGACAGTGACACAGCTTGTTTCTGTCTGGTTCATCTTAAAAAAAAGGAATTTTGCATAGTCACTGTTTTCACACACATGGTAAACTCCTGGTGTCACATAGCTGGAGACCACATTCACTTCTGGGTCTTGTGACAGACACAACCATTTGGTAGATTTGACATTGAAACACATATATTTTACTTTCTTATGTTTTGGAACTCACTTGAGCGTGCACTGTACTTAATAAATAAAATGGAACATCTATTAAGGATGCCAAAAAGCATTGCTGCTGTTTCCAAGGATGTAATATTCTGCCTTTGCTATTTTTATTTTATTCCTGACCCCTGTCCTCGGCTGCTTTGCTTCCAGGTGGAGCAGAACAGAGTCAAGCTTTTGAACGACCAGGCAGTGGCCAAGTCTCAGCTGCAAAAGAAGCTTGGCCAGTTTCTGTACCTCACAAATCTGGAGAAGGTAATAAACAGTTAAGAGTAACTGCAAAGAACGTAAATCCTTCAGCTGCTCACTCTAAAACTTGTGGTATGATCTCAGTCTAACTTACATCATTTATTCTATTTCAGTCCCAGGACAAATCAACTGGAGGACTGAATCCAGAACCCTGTCCCATCTGTGCACGCCCCCTGGGACAGGAGGTGAGACAGAACACCTTACCGTCTGTACAACTGTCTCATCAGCACAGAGACTTTAATTACATCCAGTCTGAAGCAGACTCCTTCTCCTCCAGGAACTTGGTTTAACATTTGGTATTTGGTTGATGCTGGCTGTATCATCAGTGTTTGGGTATCCTGCCAAAAAACAAACCAAACCATGAAACGTTTTCCAGCTCCTGAGTCTAGATTAGCTACCACAGTGACTGTGGTTTTGAGAATCCCTGATAGCATCTTAATTCTTTGTCTTTCTCTTCCCCAGTGGGCAGTGCTGACTTGTGGCCACTGCTTCTGTAACGAGTGTATTTCCATCATTGTGGAGCAGTACAGCACGGGCTCAAGGCGGCGTGCCATCAAGTGTGCCATTTGTAGGCAGAACACGTCCCACACTGAGATCTCCTATGTGTTCACCACGCAGTCGTCCAGTCAGGACCAGGACATCCCAGTCAAGGTCAGTGGAGCAACAGGCACGAGTCTGGATATTTATTATGTTGGTTATGACTGAGTCCTAATATAAAGATTTGTCAGATTGGTTCAATTGAGCTTAATTCGTTTTTGTTGTATCTTATTGCTTGCCTGAATGATTTAAATGCTAGTTGTGACTGCAGTTATCCTTTAATTCATGCTCATTAATATATATAATTGTATTTTAGCACAGTTTTGGTCAGGTCACTGATTGCTGATCATACTGTAACCTAACGTTCCTCCTCCTGCGTTTGTCAGGGAAGCCATTCTACCAAAGTGGAGGCAGTGGTGAGAACACTGAAGAAGATTCAAGCGACCGACCCCGGAGCCAAGTGTCTGGTTTTCTCCACGGTAACTGTAAACTATCCGTCCTCTCTCAGATAGTGATTTACTTTGATGATATCTGGTTTGGATCTGACCCAGTTTCTCTCTCTCCCGCTCAGTGGCTCAGCGTCCTGGACATCATCGCTAAGGCCTTGTTTGACAACAACCTGGAGTTCTCACAAATCAATGGGATTCACAAATTCCAGGTTTGGATTTTGAATTGCAACCATTTCTACCTAATGCAATATCCACTGCTATAACACCAGGGGGAGTTTACAATAGTATAGTGAGGACATTTTAAAGTTTCAGCAATGTCTCTGCACAAATGCAGCAATTGTCCACCTTTCAGCTACAGCAAAAGAAAAGATCATTCCTATCACTTCATCTTTAGGTTCAACCCATTTCATGACACCCCAACATCCCCTTTAGGTTTCAGATTGTTATTTCTGATAGTTCTCCACAGTTTCAGTGAATCAACCAGGATTAAAGACCCAACATCCCTCTTCCAAAAGGAAAAATATAAGTTTAAAACAGAATACTTGGATTTATTGATTTATTTTTGTCTCACAAAGACAAAAGAAGTAAACACAACAAAATGTGACAACGATGTATTTGCTGCTACAATGTCTCCTCATCCAGGTGTGATTATATCAATCTCATTGTCGACTTCAATGTTCCAGGAGAATCTGAGCTCCTTCAAATACGAAGAGAACATCAACATTCTTCTCCTTCCTCTCCACACGGGCTCCAACGGTCTGAACATCATCGAAGCCACTCACGTGTTGCTGGTTGAGCCGATCCTCAACCCAGCTCACGAGCTCCAGGCCATCGGCAGGGTGCATCGCATCGGACAAACCAAGTAAGTGCCAGGTAGTTCAGGCCTGCAGGGGTTGGTTTGTCGATGCAATGTTCCGAAGAAACATTTCAGAAAATATGCGCATTTGTCTGTATCTCTTTATGACAGGTGGACCTACAGTTTTCACATCCAGTGTAAAGTCTTTGTTTGTGTCTGTCCACCAGGCCAACGTTCGTGCACAGATTCCTCATTAAATCCACGATTGAAGAGAGAATGCAGGCGATGCTGAAAACAGCAGAGAAAAGGTACGAGTTGACACTAGGCAGTAAATTTAAACTGGAATACGTCTTTAATTCAAAGGGAGATTTTGACATTTAAAGGTTGGAACGTGGCAGCTGAACTCACAGTACCTATAAATGTTTTTTTTCTTCCCTTTAACCCAGTCACACCAGCACAGCCATGAAGCACTCGGAGGCTGCAGTACTGACAGTAGCTGACCTCGCCGATCTGTTTACTGATGATACTGAACATCTGGAGGGAGTCTAGACATCATGAGACACCTGATGAAGATACAAAGCAGCTTTCTCTTCACCCAGTGGGTGATTAAAATAGCCAGATTTTGCACATTCCACTTTTTTATATATGCATCATGAAGTTTTAAATGCATCTTAGCATATTTTAGCAAATCACTGACAGCAAACGACAAGTTTTCTTATTTGTTTTCAGTTTCGAATTTTAAATCTTTTTGGGGGGTATGTGTGATGTCTTGGCTGTAACTTAACGGATTCTGTAACTACTTCAGCTGTGCAGGGACATATCTGATGATCACATTTGACTGGACTGTACAATATTTTTGTTTGTGTTAATCTGTGCATTTATAAAGAACTTCACTGTATGACAAGGCAGATGAACACAGACATTGTGCTATCGTCACTTTCCGGAAATAAAAATCTGTCCACCGTCATCCTGTCACGACTCTAGCTCTTTTTGTGTGGTGCCTTTCATTGTGATTTATTTCTACGCAGTAAAAATGTCGACAGGAAGGAAGCCGTTGACCTTGAAGTGTTGCTCGGACTTTTACTTCTTTACAATCGTAGAAGTAGTGAGAGATTATTACAGGATTCTCTTGTTCCAGACAATCTTCTTTAAGCGATTTGTCTTTTAAAACAATGCTCGTCCTGACACTTGAGCCTGTCTTATTTGCAAGACAAAAAAGAGGAAGATTCAGTGTCTTGGAAACGAATCTTGTAAATCAAACTCATAAAAGTCACAAAATGTGAAGAAGTTTCCTTTGCAGCAGTCAGCTCGTCTTTCTCTTACATTGCCACCTAAAAGGTTTAACAGATAAATTACTGTTTCACTTTTATTTTAGTTTCATAGTGTTTTTCAAAAATAATGATTCTCCCTTCTTGTCTGTGCCTCTCAAAGTATTTTATGGTCTGTTCCCCCACACACATGCACTCACAGGTCCTTGGCATCATCACTGAATTGTCCTTGACTCGTAATGAGTTTCTTTTTGCCTGACTGACTGGGATTCCCGCACCAGTAAAGATTTTAAAATGTCCAGACAAAGGATGTAGACGACAAAGAGTGCCGGCCGAGCGCTGTTGTTCCTCTCTTGCATGGTTACCAGATGTCTTGTTGGCCCTCCGTAAGAAACAGTTGTAAGATGTTTACTAAGAGGACGTCGCCGCAGTGGGCGGTAACATACGTGTTACCTTGGACTCCCCTCAGTTCCCCCTATTCATGTGCGGAATCTCATTGTTGGTGGGGACATCATTCAAGCTGGTGTTTTAAGGCCAGAGGGAGGCTCCCAGTTCATTAGAGCTGTGTTTCGAGGGTTGGGGTAAGAGACAGGTACTTCTTCTTGTAGTGACAGCGAGTCCCCAGAAAGATTCACAGAGTTTCGGGGGGAAAGAGCCAAAAAGGTAGTGGAGTGGCTGAGCTAAGGCAAAGCAGAAGGAGAGCTCTGGGAAGATGGCACCTGCCAGTTTGGTTTTTGCCTGGTTACTGTTCACCATGAGGATGGTCATCTCGGCAGTGTTTCTGGAGCCTGAGGAGGAGGGTGAGCTCACTTCACATCACATCACACACTCAGGGAGGAAACGTCAGGGGTCAAACCACAGAAACCATCTACTCTTAATAAGTCATTTAACAGTGATTGGAGGTTTAGCACAAGTTTCCCAGACTTTCAGATCTTTGAAATGTTCTCATAAAAACGATCTAATCAAGTTCAGTTAGACTTTATTTACGCTTCTCGTTTCTTTGACCACAGCAGCAGTGAATGTGATTCCTGTGAAGATTCTCAGTCATGGTATTTTCCAGTGACATGCAGGGTAGGTGGACTTGCTTGAGGTTCTTCAAGATGTGATTCCTCGAGCAAATCCACTCACTACTCTGTACAATATTGGGTTTTTCTAATATATAATAATGCATCATATTGCTGCATGTTGTCTACATACAATCATCATTTAAAAAGTTAGCTGTAAGTTGAATGTATTTGAGTGAGAGGTACAATAAAAACATAAAGCAGCCAAAACTGGAAATACCAGAATACTTGAGTACATTTCAATTGAATATGTGATAACACACACTGTTAAATTGCTTTGTCTAAATGTTGAATATACATTTGTAGGATTGTAGAGTGTGCAAAAGTGGTATAGGTTTTCGAAAATATTATTTTGTATTATCTAAAAAGTTTGTGTGAAGTTTAATCTGTTGTTTTTTTAAATATTTTTTTCCCCATTAGAGCTCAATGAAACTGTCATTTGCACCAACGATCAAATGGAGGTTGTTATACCCAGTGTTTTTTTCCTCAACAAAGAGCCTCCAGTTTATGTAAGTCTTTAAAATCTTTCCTTAAAAGTAGATTGTGTGTTTTGCTTTATGATTGAATATTTGTGTTGATTATTGTGTTTCCTGTGTTAAGGTCTGGGATTTGCATTTAAATGATCCGGAGTGCCGCGGGGTTGAGGTCGGAGATGACTACGTCTTCAGCATAAAGACAAATCTGTCAGACTGTGGGACTATAATGGTACAGAGCCTCAAACATTTGACAAACATTTGTTTTAAAGTGTGTGAAAGTCACGTCTGCAGGATTTAAGAGTCTAATAAAAAAAAAAACGAATCAAATTGCACGTGAGCTGAGACATTTAGAAGAGCTGCTAACAAAAGAGGAATACCTCAGCTTTAACCACCATGAAGACAAACTACACTTGGTATCTCCATCACTGACAACATAAAATCACCATCGTTATAAATAATCCGTTTTACGATGTGTTTGGTTGTTGTGGGAACTGGACTGGGAGCAGTGTGGGGGTTTTTTTTTCTTCCTGTGCTGACGTAAATGTGGACTGAGACCCTCTGTTCTGTGTTCAGATGGGCACTGAGGAATTAGCTCATATGTATAATAAGATGGACAGAGAAAGGCACACACCCTGAACCCAGACAGAAAGGAGTGAACAGAAAAGAAAGGGTGGGGAGTGGCGTGCATGTCAAGGAAGAAGGGTGGCGTTGTTCCTTTTCTCTATGACAGCACAGGGTCTTATTCAGCGCAGCGGCCAGACCTTGAAAGGCCTTGTAATCCTAAATTATCAGAATTTACATGGGAATGATGATTATTTGTTGAAGCTCAGTGAATAGGAAAGCCATAAATCACCGGTCAACTCACCCCTTGGTTATTTTAATCCCCCTGTTCTCATGGACTCCATCTTTGGAGTGGTTTGAATCTCTACTTCAGCTCACAAGTGTCCTTGGATTTCTTGATTGGAATGCGTAAAGGTTTTTCTTGTAAAGTGAGCAAAAGGTTAACACGGGGGGAAAAAGTCTCCCAGTCCTGCACCTCAGAAGTTTTACAAGCTTATTGCATAGAGCCTGAGCAAAGTATGTCTCCTCTGGATTAGAAGAAGAATGTCGTGTGTGTCAGTCTTGCTTTCACCTTGACTGCAGGACCTTTTAAACCCTCAGCCGTCAGCAGAGGAGTGACTGAACTGTTGGGTTTAAAAGTCAAACATTTTCATTCAGACACGACCGCGTCCTCTGCTCCTGTTTCAGTGATACTTCTGTGTTAGACGCAGAGCCTTCATATTACCGAGTGACAAGTGCAAGTGGCAGTGGGGTCCTGTCATGAAGTAATGAAGACCAGTTGCCTTTCGTAGAAAAGCTGGTGCTCATTGTGGGGGGTCGCGTGTTTACCAAGAGGTAGTAAAAGACGTCTCGGCCGTTAGAGCCCGCGACAATTCATCCTGCTCGGGGACCACAGAGGCCGTCCTCTGTCTGCCCCCAGCAGGGGCCCAGACAAACCTTGGACACAACCTTTTCCCTCGTCTAAGTTTTACAGTCTCATCAACATCACTTGCCAACAAACAATATTGAGCAGTATCGCTCACATTTACAGTGTGTGAAGGGAGGATGGCCGTTGACGTAATAGCCTGGGAAAGAGGTCACATAAAGTCGCTTCAGTCACTTCCTACAATTGAGTTTTTGAATGTTAAAGTCAATTAAGTGTTTTTAATTAATCCACATCTATTTTATTGATCGGTTAATTTTAACACATTTACAAGCAAAAATGCCAAACCTGATCGTAGTAACTTGAATATTTTGAAGTTTGGAATGTGGGTCGGACAAAATAATTCTTTAAATAATGTCATCCTGGGTTCTAGGAAATTGTCATGTGTATTTCCTACCAATCCTAATAATAATAATAATAAACATACAATGAAACTTAAAAATCTATTAATAGTTTCAGGTATTTTGTATCGCAAAACTTGCTAAATGTTTTTTTATCCTATCACCTCAGTTGTGAGAATATCTCATTAAGAAATCTGAAGATAAACTGTTTTTGTATTTTTGTGTTTGTCTTTCTCTCCTCAGGCCTCAGATGACACACACATCATGTTCATCAACACCATACACAACAACGATTCAGAAGTCATCACGAGAAACTACATCAACATAACGTTTGTGTGTCGCTATCCCCTCAACTACATGGTGCAGCAGCCCAACGGTGAAAACATGATCCGAGTGGACGTCAGGCGAGTTTGTTTTTTTATCTCTAAATGACCTCTGACCTCTCAGTAACATGATTCCTTTTAAACACGTGTCCTTTGTTGTGACTCTACAGAACGATAACTCTAAACACGGAGGACGGGAACTTCTCGGTGTCGATGTTGTTGTACAAAGACGAAGCCTTCGAGGACAGATGGACGACTGTGCCGTCGCTGACACTGGACGAAGACATTTTTGTTAAAGTGTTCATGGTAAATATTTACGTCTCATACTAACCTGAATATTGTGTAAGGTTTAGTTGCATATTTTAAGCAACACTTAGTGTTGAGTAAAGTGCCTGTTTAAGATGAGCCGTGACAGAGATGATGAATGCTGAGCTTCGACTTACAGACAAAAACACATGACAGAACTTGAAGTATTCATACTATTGACAGTTATTTTTGGATCAGGTTAAGCGTGTTGTTACATGATGTTAAGCAATATGTCCTGTGGTGGAGCGATACAAGCAACACAGGAAATCTGACACCCGACATGCTGCTCTTCTTCTCCTCCATGTTGTTATAACCTCTTTGTACAGCTGCTGTTTACACACCGTGAATCAGAATCTCACAGTCCATGTTGGAAAAGAATTTCCCATTTGTACATTTTGACTGAACTGTCACTCAACCCCCACGTCTGTCCTCACAGATACCGGCTCACCTGATGCTGCGTATCGAGAGGTGCTGGGCTACACCGACCAGTGACCCATACAGCAACATACAGTACACCTTCATCAGAGACAGGTCTGCCTCCCAGGTGTTGGTACAAAAGCAGAAAAAAATATCTCAGTGGCAAAGTTTCTTTTTTTCTGCTCTTAGTTTTGAACCTGAAAAATAAGAATAATAAAGTTTGGATGGATTCATTCACATAAGATAATTTAAAGGGGGTGGGGTTGAAATCTACTTATAGCTTGTTGTTATTTCACCACACTGGCAAACAGCTCTAAGTCCTCTCACACGAGGGCTGATGAAATCTGAAATAAGAGAATTTGTTGCTTGGAGAACAGGCCAGACAACAAATTCTCAGTCACTCGGTCATGTGACTCCCCCGTCTGAGTGGCCACATGCGTTTCAGTTCAACAGCTGTGAACGTCCTTGACAACCAGGCAGTATTTGGTCCTGCTAGCAACAGCAGAGAGCAATGAAATGCAGGACAATGATTTCACAATGCAGGGGAGGGGGGGGGATACTCCAATAAATCTGTCTCTCATGCTGTTGCAGATAATGTTTACGTTATGGCTTTTTTCCATTCATCACACTTGAAATCTCTTCCTTCTTGCAGTATTGCACTCTAGATTTAAATGAAACCCCCACACACACACCAGACCTGCCTGACTTCTCTGTCTCCCTCCCCATAGCTGCCCGGTGCTGTCAAACGAGCAGACCCTGAGTCTGCTGAGGAACGGCCAGGGTCCGGAGGCCATGTTCAGGATACAAATGTTTAAGTTTGTTGGCAGCTCCTACACCAACGTCTTCCTCCACTGCAACATCCAGATCTGCCACAACACTCCGGGGCTGTGTCAGCCTGTGAGTGAACGCACGCTACACCCATTCCTCACACTGGGAGTCACAGGCCAGTTCAGACAAGTAGCCTGTGATATGCTCAGCTTATGTCCTTAATATAGACCCATCAGGACAGAATAGTTTCTCAGCTCCATGATGGCCCAGTAAGGCTGCCCTGGTTTTAAATACGCATCTTGTTGCATCAATTCTTTTCATGTATTTCCAGAACTGCTCTGGTGAAGTCTCATTAATGAGGATGCGCAGAGACGTCCCACTGTCCCACACAGTGTCTTATGGACCAATCAGACGGCTACTAAACAGTGAAAAGCCCAATCTGAGTGAGTTTTTACATCTCTTTAAAGCTTTGAGATTCCAGATACTGGAAACTATTTGTATGCAAAAGTGTGATTCCACCTGTTTCCTTTGTGTCTGTAGATGCAGGCGGAGCCCCCACCGTGGAGACTTTTGTCCTGGGAGGACTGCTGGTTATCTTGCTGCTCATCACAGGGGTGTTTGGGAGGCTGTGGCAGCGCTCGAGGCGTTTCTACCCAGCCAGGGAGGCACAGCTCACTCTGTCCAACATTCACCACATCTCAGAGGTGGCCTCGTGAATCAGGAGATCAGGAACTTTTCTGAGCTGATGAATGGACAAACAAACACAAAAGCAAATGCAAATGCACGCTTGTGATTTATGATAATGACGAAAAATGAATTTGTTGCTTTTTTAGGAAATCGACTTAATAAAGTTCTCCCTCAATTGTTGCTGTTTCTCACAGTGGTGAAAGTTAAGTCAGACATTCTTCAGGTCATTGTACTTTGCTTGAATGTTCCCTTTTATTCTACTTTAAACTTCAACTATATTTCAGTAGCAAATGTTTTTTTCATTTTTGCTCCACTGTGCTTATCTAAAGATCAGCCTTTAAAATATGATGAATTATTAAACATAACTGCATAAGAGAACAAACTCTTTAAATTTGCTTCACACCACCCAGCTTCTACATTAAAATGCTGCTTACTCAGCAATACATCTGTATTTACAATGTAAAATATATAATTAGTGCTTTAACTCTTGGTACTTTAAGAACACTTGATGTCCCTTTCATACAACCTTAGTAAATGGGTTTTAGTTGTAGTGGAAATATTTCTATTATCGTGTGTAATTTAAGGGATAATGTTGGTTTTAATCTATATTTTTATAAATCTCATGAAAAGACAAATACAGCTGGTTCATTCTGTGAAGCAGGTAACAAATATATAGTTTGTTTTTTAAGTAAAGCCTATAAAGTTATTAAAGTTATTAGTTTTTCATTGATGTCCCGCAAACAGGAGTAATTAGAGGTATTAGGGGTATATATCTTATATCAGCCTTTAAGTAGAAAAGTTGGGATAATAATAGATATTTAAGCAGAAATTTCAGGTTATATGTATGTGTATAAATATTAGAATAAACTGTGGTCAAGGCTACTTCATGAAACTTGTTTCGGTTGTTGTTCTTACCAACAAAAATAGATGATAATAACATTATGATGTCAAGCTTAGCTAAAAAACAAACAACCAGAAAACAGTGTGGTGTTGTTGGTCAATAAAATAAACAGAACACCTCTGACATGAAGGACAAAAAAAGATTAAATAAATAAATGCAGGAATTAATACCTGCATAAAACACTGACAAAATAAACACAATGAAAAGGGATAGTTTTATCTAATTATACTTATTTAATTCAGTGGCCTTGATTTTCTCATTATATACATGTTTATAAATAGTTAATCATTTAATTTGCTGAGTCTGTCCCCATAAAATTTGAGAAGCACCATCCCATACATTTAGAATATATATATATATATGAGTATAAATATATATAAATACTGTATATTTATACACATGTGTATATATAGTGAACAGTCACTGGGGGTTTTCCCTCTCTGTCTATTTCAGTCGCTCGCGGACACGACTGGACCCTTTACGTGGTGACGTAGCAGCTGCGTCGTGCCCCTCCGCTCCAAACAACTCAGACACCGACAGAAGCAGCTGAACGCTCTCCGGCTCAACACTCTCCAGCTCCGGCCTCGTCGGACGATGTGCTGACGGGGGGGTTTTCTGTGGATGAACACGGAGCTGAACGCGGGTGACGACATCCACCGAACACCGGGAAAATCCCCGAGACTCGGGTAAGCGGCTTCTACAAGCGACTTGGCGAGCGAGGCTAACGAAGTGTAGCTGCTAGTGCTAGCTAGCTAGCTAACTGGCTGGCCATGATGTTTGTGTTTCTTTTGTTTAACTGTACAAAGTTTGGCGTCTCGACACTTCGCTCTTACTTCAGTGCAGTTGTCATGACAACATGTTATACTTGTACACGCTGCAGGAGTATAATCGGTACTGAGACTGTAAACGGGTTGACTTGTAAGAACCGGCTTCTGAGTTGTTTGTGTTTTTAGCGGTTTGCTAACCTTGCTTGCGTAATTTAGCCTGTTAGCTGTTATTGGCAGTGGCCGTAAGGTCTTGAACAATAGCCCTCCTGTGTGGCACTGCTGTTCGGACTTGCAGCATTGTTGTGGGTCTTTCATTTATTGTCTGGTGTTCTTTGAGCCCAGTGATCATTATCCCCTCCACAAGCCACACCACCAAAATAAAGCCCAGGCTAATGATTCAGAGGTATTTACCCCACAGGCCTGTGGAGGCTGGGGGACAAACAGCTTGAACAACAAGTGGAAATTCTTCAGGGTTTATCTCACCTGTCACCAAACTGTGGTCTGAGATCTTAAAGGTGAGGGGTCAGGTTTGCTCCCGAAGCTTTGAAAGAACTGGTGTCACCAGGAAATCTAAGAAGGGTGTTGTGAAATGATACTGATCTGCCTGAATATGTGGTAAACAGGCACAGACAGGAGAGAGAGCGGACATGTGTGGGGATGAGTTACAGGACATTTTGAAGGCATGGGAGCTCACGTGTGTCGAGACAGTGTGCAACTCAGCATATAGGTCCATGGGATAATGTGACACCAGCGTGCTCTGTGCTCAAGCTGAGGACTCCATGTGCTTGACAAGTGTTACTGTAACCATGATTCGATTGTTAAATCTCCAACGCTGTGAATAAAATGTTACTTTGCTGATTTTGTTACAGGGTTCAACGCCTCACCCCTTTTCCCTCTTGGACACGGAGCAACACAGTGAGAAAATGGAGAACCTGCACCCCCACTGCCTTAAATGCATCAAAAGAAGATGCATGGTAAGACCAGAAGCGGGGGTTTCTTGCGACCTCATGTGCTGCCCTCTTGTTTGCGGGGCAGTTTTTCACTCATGTAAACTTGAGGAACATCGCCTGTTGTGTCCGTACGAGCGGCTGCCGTGCCTAAACAGTGGGTTTGGCTGCCCCTTCTCAATTGCAAGGATCAGGATGGCAAAGCACCTGGAGACTTGCCCTGCAAGTATAGTATGTTGTACAATGGAGTGGAACCGCTGGCCTGTGAGCTACGCTGATCGCAAGTCTTATGAGAACTTGAGCAAAGACTTTGATGAGGTGGAGCAGCTGGACATGGCCTTGGCCCTGCAGGACCAGCGGATGTTGTTAGAGTCCCTGAAGGTTACGACCACTGTGTCAAAGAATGGAGTTAAAGAAGCAGATGAAAAGAACAAGATGGCAACAGCGTCAAGTTTACCAGAGACAGTGTTAGGTAATAGAACAGTGGAAATGGAGGCAGAACCCTATACTGAGTTGTACAGCAGCTCATCGGAGACAAGTAGAAGTTTGGCAGCAGCTCTGGACATCCTCTCTAATTCTGCGGATATTGATGTAATTGTTGGGAATCTAAATGGGGAAAAGACTGATAAGAATGGAGCCCTCCACAACGGAGAAAATGGTGATAACCATAATGTTTATGTGGCTGAGGGTGGGAAGAATGTAGATATGCAGGAGAGCGACTCTGATTCAGAGTGTGAGCTTGGAGCAGTGGGTGGAGTTGACTTTGCTGTGAACACACATAGAGAAGGAGATGGAATTGGCTGGGGAGAAGAAAATGATTTTGTAGAGTTGTTTTTTGAGGAAAAGGAAGATATCATTGAGGAGCCAGTAAATGATTCCAATCTCATCTGGCCAGAGATGCCTCAGAATTTCATGCCCCTCGTGGCTCTGGGGCCTCCTGTGCCCCAACAAGCACCACTCTCACCCCCTATGCCATTGCTGCTTTCTGATCATGCGAGAAATAACTTCTTGCAAGTGCAACACTTACCCAGTGAACTCAGGTATAGGTGCTTGGAGCGTAAACTACAGAATGTAGAAGTCCTAAGAGGTATTAGCATGTTCACATTTAATGGACGTCGGGCTCTGCTGTCAGACCCGTACTTGTTTCGAGCAAAGATGGAGGACAAGTCGGTTGATACGTCTGACCTAGAGGTAGCTGACGACCCCTTGGGTCTCCACGGCATCGACCTCATCACTGCAGCTTTGCTGTTTTGCCTCGGAGATTCTCCTGGGGGCAGAGGCATCTCAGACAGCAGATTTGTTGATGGCTATCACATTGACTTTGGTACTCAGACATTCTCCTTCCCCTCAGCCATTCTTGCTACCAACACCATGGTGGGGGACATTGCTTCAGCCTCTGCCTGTGATCACGCCAGCCCACAGCTTTCCAACCCCAGCCCCTTCCACACTCTCAGGCTAGACCTGGTGCTTGAATGTGTGGCTCGATACCAAACCAAACAACGCTCCATGTTCACTTTTGTGTGTGGGCAGTTGTTCCGGCGGGACGAGTTCTCGTCTCATTTCAAAAACGTACACGGAGATATCCACGCTGGACTTAACGGCTGGATGGAACAACGCTGCCCCTTGGCCTACTATGGCTGCACCTACTCCCAAAGACGATTCTGCCCATCGGTGCAGGGCTTCCGAATAATCCACGACAGGCACCTCGGCTCTTTCGGGGTTAAACCTGGTCTACCTTTAAGAACGGGAGAAACCTTCCCAAGAAACACCTGCCACTTTGTTGATCAGTGCGATCAGTTCAGCAGTCTTCCATTCGAGGTTTTGCAACATGTAGCAAGCTTCCTGGACAGTTTCAGCTTGTGCCAACTATCCAGGGTGTCCCGCACCATGAGGGATGTGTGTGCCAGTCTGCTTCAGATGCGTGGCATGGTCGTCCTGCTGTGGGAGAAGAAACGGCGTGCTGATGGTTCTTCTTCATGGCAGATCACAGATAAGGTAAGTCTCCTGAAAGGACAGCATACGAATTTCATTGCACAGGGGATTTCCTGTGCATTTGACAATAAAAATCTTTGAATCTTGAATCTGTTCACTAATCTGTTGTTTGGAAATGATGTATAATTATGCTCACTGCATGAAAGGTAATGGATCAATTCTGCTTCTCGTTCAGGTGTGGAGATTCAGTACAGCTTTCGGTACAGTGAACGAATGGAAGTTTGCCAACATCGCCAGCATGGCCGACCACCTCAAGAAGTGCAAGTTCAACACGATCAGTCGCCGGGAGGAGGCCATCCCTCTGCCGTGCATGTGTTTCACCAGAGAGCTCACGAAAGAGGGCAGGTGTTTACGTTCAGTTCTCAAACCAGTAGCATAAGCGATGAAGTCAGTGTTTGGACATTTCTGAGGCCATCGGAATTCCTCCAGCGTTTACTGTGTTTAAAGACTTTTGTCTCTTCCAGCCTTAAAAAGATTTTAACTTCTGGTTGGATGTTAAAAACTGCTGGTTGTTGTTCGGTTCACAGTGGAACAAAAATCTTCCCTCCTAGAAATAAGACCCGGCCAGTTGTGGGCTGACGTTCTCGCAATCACAGATCAGGATGGTCACAATCAAATTGAATTGCTAGCCTTGTGTTTCATGAGGGATTTATTAATACCATTGTACTGAAGTTCTACTATTATCTACTCTGACATAGTGTAAATAATCAGATGATATGATGTAGATTTTTTTATTTTTATATTGATAAGTCAGTACTGTGCTACACTGGAGGTAAGAGTAGAGCCTTAACTTGCGATACACTTGATTTTCTAGTCTTGGGGTCGTTGAGAACATCTCAGTGAGATTTCTTTACTGCTTCCAGCTGTAACAGTTTACTGGTATCTTGCACGGTTTTATATTGTATCATGATAGTGAGTGACCGTCTGTGTGTGTGTGTGCTGCTTAGAGCTCATAGGTTTCATGGCGTTAATGCTACATAGTACGACTGACCAAACATCTGTGGTCGCTCTCCACACTGTTGATGTTACTCAGCAGAAGCGTAGCACCATCATCAGCGTGTGGGGTGTGTTTAGTGGTTTGGTATGTGGAGCTGAAATTACAGCAGTAACAAAGGGTTCTCTTCTGTTCTTCTCTCACCTCTGACCAATGAGCAGGCATATTGGTCAGGATGAGAATAGTTTTCTCTGAAAATCTAAATGTAGCAAGTGACAGAACAGGGCACACAGTGAATATAAGAATCCATCAGCGACCATCGACGATGACGAGGAAGGTTTGTTTCCCTCCCTCAGTGTCAGACCTCAGAAACCCCTGCTGGTCAGGTGTTTACGACTACAGCAGGCACACACTTCCCTCCAGTAACTAGCATCACTAATAATGTTCACATTCATTATTTATCATGTGAGTATGTTTAAGGCACTACATGTCACACTTTGTTCAAATGTTTTGGTGTCTCAGGGTTACCTTTGTCTCGCAGCAGATTGTGCGTGTGGTCAACGAAATAGCTCAGACTGACACGCTGACTTGATTCTTGTGGGGTCTTACAGCCGACTGGTGTACCACTCAGTATTATTACTACATAGTGTGTGTGTGTGTGTGTGTATTTTGCAGTGGTGGACTAACAAATGAAAAGTTTTTTGGATTTGTCTTCCCATCAGGAATAACTGAACCAGGACGTCAGCTGTTTGTTGAATGTTCTTTTAAAACATGGAGTGATCAAAATTGTTTGGATTTGGTATTTAGGTCTAACAACACATGGACACAGTTTTAAGTAGATCACGTTCTTGGTTTAAAAATGTCACAAAAAACTGAAAAAATTTATATTCCTTTGAGGGGCAAAAACATTTTGTTGTTGTTTTTTATAGTTTTGAAGTCAGATTTAAAGCCCAAGTGATTTTTAATCTGTTTTTTTATTCTAATAAGTCTTGAGTTTTGGTTTATTTTCCTATTTTTGTACTGGTACTTTTATTTGGAAAGAGAAAAGAGACAAAATCTGTAAAGTCTGGATTTGTATTTGGAATATTGATTTGCACATGAAGGTATGTACTGTAACATTAGAAACCTGAGGGTTTTTTTCTCCCTTGTGCTCTGCATGAGTTTGATGTCTTTGGAAAATGAATCAGTCAGTCCAGTTGCAGACATGTTGATTCAGTTTGATTTCATATGAGCCATTACATAAAAAAACAAATCTTGTATCATGATGAATTTCTGTCAGATCTGCCTCATTCCTCAAGTTCTAACCTTTTTAATTTGATGAAGTGGAATGGGGACCTGAGCTTTCAGTCACTAAATGTTTGTCATCTGCAGCACACTCTTGTTTTTCTTTCATTTCAATGCAGACAGGTCTTTGCAGGCACCTGGAGTGTATCAGCATTTCATCCGAATTCATTGTTGTTTTTTTCCACTCCTGCTGAATGAGGTGTACGTGTGTTTTTCACAACAATATGCCAGCTTCATTTGTTGTTCGACTTTTGAAGCATTTTAATAAAGAGGCTCTCGGTTTTTAAAATGTTTGGTTCTTTTTCAGCTCCCCAGTTTACTGTAGCTGTTTCCACCACTGTGCTAACACATAACTCACTAATGGGTCATACTGGAAAAAGTGTTAACACAGATTCATTGAGGTAAATAAAGTTAAATATTCTCACTTTGGATTAAAGCTCCAAAAACTTAATGGACAGAAAAGGGGGGCACATTTCATGCTAAGTGACAGAGGACGGGGTATTTACAGGTTATGTCCTGTTGACAGTAGAGAGTAAACATTCACAATGAACTGTAAAGTTATTGCTCTAATAGTGGAGACAGCTAGATGGCGCCAGAATACCACAAGTTCCTCTTCCCGTGTTAAAAAAACATTCAGTAGCTTATTCCTCCACTAGTTATATATTCATGTTATCGTAATAGGATAAAACAATAAGACAAAACTGAATTACATCACATCTTGTTCCATATAATGAAGTTTTCTTTGCACGTTTCAAGGCATTTAAAATGTAATTTTTATTGCATCTTATTCTCTTCTAAAAAAATTGAATAGTTCAATTATTGGTGTCACTTTTTGCTGGTGCTGATGCAAAATTATTTCAGTTAAAACAATCAGAAGCTATAGCTGCTTCCGTTTGTTAAGTCTCCAGTTAAAATACTGTTAAATTAAAAAAAAACAGGAGGTGAACCACCTCCTTTGAATATTTGTGGCTGGGGGCCACAGTTTTGTCTAGATTTGGACAAGATCATTCATTCACAGTTTGCATGCGCTGCCTATATTTACCCCAAACTACAAGGGGAAACAAAAATCAACCTGGAACAGTTTGTCAGCTGAGTTCAGGTGTTTCCCCCTCTGTGGGTTTTGAACCAGTGAAGCTTTGTTGGCTGTGTAAAACAGAAATCAGCTCAGACAATGAACATATTGCTATAATTAGCAAACACTTCAGAGCCTGTAGATTCATGAACGGTGAAACAGAAATGATTGTGCGGAAGATCAAAGCTCAGGCAGTTTGTCAAGAAAGAGCATCAGGACAGAGATTCAGAAGTTACATGATGTTTTACTAAACACCGCATGGTTTGTTTTTCTATAGATGTAGTGAAGTTTAAAATGTCACCATCTACCAGGAGTGGGGTTTGAACCCACGAGGACTATTGTCCATTGGATCTTAAGTCCAACGCCTTAACCACTCGGCCATCCTGGTGCATATGCCTCTATCAATACAAAAGTCATGAGCAGAATTCAAACACGTGACTAACACAACAATGTGAGGGCAACAAGAGAGTCTACCTGAGCAGACACATGACGCCACAGTGCAAATAGAGCCAGTCATGCTGCTAGCAAATGTCACACACATACACAGACCACAGGGTGCTGCTGAGGAAATGCAATCATTGCACACAAATTGCAAAACTGAGAAGAGGCAGCAGTGTCTCTCATGTTGTGTGCAATGACCCCAGTCACAGAGGATCTCAGCTTCAGTTCACCAGATACTAACTGCAATGTCTGTCTCATACAGAAAACACAAAGGTCTCTTTAGTTTCATTCTCACACACCGACGGTACAGAGGGACAAGGCCGGCTGCGCAAACATGAAGTCCTCTGACATGATTAGTTTCCTTGTCTCTCTGTTGTTGTCGCTCCGCCTGAATGAACACAAAGGAAAACCAAAGGGAAACCTGAACAGGTCTCATTATTAAATCACATTTAATACACCAGATCTGGATTTTTATATGGATCTGCTTCAAACTGCACAAACTCATAAATATCTTTATAAACACCTTATCTCACAATGTTAAAGAAAGTGGGAAACTAATCCTAGATCCGACCCCCAGATCCAGATCTTCACTAAAAATGAAATAGTTCTTCCTTGGATCATGCTTCAGTGCTCCATAAAATACAATAGGGATTAGTTATTGTGTAATCCTGCTAACCAACTAACAAACAAACAAATGCAGAACTTCTCTGTGGACAAAATGACTTCATATGTAGTTCATAAGTGACGCCCCAGATGTATGAGAGACTTAGTTCCCTGTTTACAGTTTGTTACAGTTCATTTAAAGTTTAAATGTTTAAAACTAACCAACTAGATGAAAACATAACCTCCATTCCAGAGGTGAATATGACTGATGTGTTTGGTTCTGAGGTCATGATCAGCAACAGCTACAGGGAAACGTGGGATTGAAGCTCAGACACTTTAATCAGTCTTAAGAAGCCCAAAGCTCTCGGCCTGTAGCTGATGATAACTATATACGTATTACAAATCCACACTGATCTATTTTTCCTCCCCTGCTAACCACAATCAGTAGCTGTGTGTTTTGTTTTCACTACAAAAGGTTCACATGAAGTTCCGATTTCCAGCTTTAGATTTTCATTCAGGCTGTAAAAACAAGCCGCTCTGAGACATTTATTTATAAGTAAATTATATTTTACATCACTTAAATATCTTGCAACACAACTTACAGAGCTGAAAGTTAAAAGGAAAGAAGGCTGAGGTCTGTGCATTCAAATAACAGCTCAGATGTCTAATCATGCAGAGGCTGAACTCCGTAACAATCAGGAAACCATATCTTACTAAACAATGTTTGCATATGAATATGTGGTTGGAAACTGGCCCAGTAAAGAAAATAGACGGGTATGAAATTTCTACACAGCTGCTGCTTGAAAATGGAGTCACAGAGTAAAACAACACAATATTATATAACTTTTTAATCTAGACTCAAGGCTTTGATGAAGAAAACATGTTGCCTCAGTTGCAGCAGGGGAAGCAACAGCAGAAGAGTTTTTTGCACGGATTGTTTCTCTTGTATTTCACGGCCTTCTTGACCTGAGTCGCAGCCACGGCGACATAGTCCTGAGTTGCACCGACGTTGGCCTCGATGTTGTTCATCATGCAGCCCTGCTCCTCCACCAGCATGGCCATCTGGAAGAAGAGCTCATGGATGTCCCTGATGCGGCCCTCCAGCTCCAGAAGCTCCTTGTGGCGGTTCTCGATCTCATTGAGCGCCGACCTCGCGGTCTTTCCCTCCAGGAGGAGGTTGTCCGAGAAGACGTTCCACTTGCCCGTCTCGATCATCTCGTCTATCTGCTCCCTGCTCACCTCCTTGCCCATGATCTCCGCCTGCCTCTGGATGCGCGTCTTGCAGTTCTCCCTTTGCACCATCTCGGCCTCGTTGTACTCGGACATGGTGCCGTGGAAGGTGTTGGTCAGAGACACGTACTGCGAACGCACCATGCGGGCTATAGCTGAGGTAGATCCGTGTTCCTCCTCCAGGTGCTTGCAGAACCTCCCCATCTTCTCCAGCCGAGCGTAAATGGCCTCCCCTCGGGCCTTGATGTTCCGGCCCAGAGCGTTGGAGTCCCGCTTGATGCTGCTTATCCTCCTGACGGATGTGAGAAACCTGGTGTTCTGTTTTCCGAGACGCTTCACGTCCATTTTGAACAGCAGCATTTCCTTCTTCATGGCCTGGGCCTCCTTGTAGATGCCGTCCATCAGGTCCTCTGCCTCAAACACGATGGCATGTTGCTCTAAGGGCTCCTCTTCCTCAGGGCTGTGGTTCTCCTCAGGTCTCTGCTCCTCCTCTGTAGACTTGGAGGTTAAGGTCTGCAGCTCACACAGCCGGTCTCTCATCTCACCTGCAAGAGGAGTCAGGAACTTTTACTGACCTCTTAACAGAAATAGTTTGACATTCAATAGCTTTGCTCTGTCCAGCGATAATAAAATCCCCCTATCAGTCGTTCTACATCAACAAATAAGAAATTAGAGTTTCATTTGTCCGTTTTATAGTTGCAGCGAAAAGTGGCAGATTTTGTAACCCTTACACTCAGCCAGTCCTGCCGTGATCCAGTTTCATTACCTCTGCCATGTATGGAGGTTCTGTTTTCACCCCGGTTTTATTGTTTGTTGGTTTGTTTGTGTGCAGGATTGCACAACAAGCAACAGCACCTCTGAAATTCACCAGGTAACACATAATATCATGTGTATTTACATTTTACCAAAACCAGAGGGAAACAACAAGCTGTCATTTTATGAGGGATTTCCCCAGAGACTCCAGGAGACTAACCCCCAAATCGTTTTCTCATGTATCATCACAGCCCCTTCGATTTATCTGGTGTTCATTTGGAGCAGTCTAACTCCTGGGTTTGGAACATATACCTTCTTTCTTTCGATATTGTCATTTCTAGGAGTTATTTCTTACAGAAATATTAATCATTTTTAACAATGAATAAGTATTTTTTTATTTATAGTTTGTATGTATGTATGCATATCTTTGTATAGTTGGACTTGGAAACTTGAATATAAAGACTAAATTGAAAAGTGCAGAGTACCAGTTATGCTTCATTGCAGTGTAAGATGTGTTTTCTATAGAGAGACAGACTATAAACTTTAAACTCCTCTGAAGGAAGTTGCTGAGTAACTTCCTCAGCTCAGACCTTCAAATCAAATACAGGGCGTCGACCTGAGACTGTTAGTTCCTGTCAAGGTCATTTGTTTGATGCAAATAATAAATAAAGGAAAATAATGTCACTAATAAACCACAGAGCATCATTGGTGATGAAAAGCCAGCATCATGAGGGAAAAAGAAAAACTAACAACAAGTCTGTGATGAGTTAATGATCCGTAAATCACTATCACTATCACTATAAACTACGATTGTCTGAGTCCATTTTTCATCATCAGGTCTATAGGTGTGTACAAGAGCCTCGAACAACAGTGTGCACTTACCTTGTTGTGTTTTCCTCCAGTGGTGCTGTGGTATAGAAGTCGATAAAGCAGGAGAGGAGACCAAAGAGACGCTAATTTCCTCTTCTTCTCTCGGTTGTAAGAGCACATTTCAACATGTACAAGAGTCAAAGTGTGTTTCAAGAGGTCTCTCTGTCACCCCCCACACACACACACACACACACACACACACACGCTCTCTCTCTCTCTCTCACACTCACACACAGAGTGACGCTGTGTGTGTGAGTCAGACAGGCAGCAGCAGGTACTAACACGGAAGATCACGCCTTCTCTCTCTGCATTTCACACTCTTCACCACTTCTCCAGTTTGTGTTTGAGTGAGAGGTTTTTATTTTGTTTCTCTTTTCTTTTCTTCTTGCGTTTACACAGAGGGGCGAATTCTATGTCCAACATCTGTGCACGATTCCTGCTTCTGTAAGATCAACATTTAAGTCATTCATTTGACTGTAAGCTCTTTAAACAAAAACATTTTGGAAACTGTGATCTTCAAAAAAAACTTAGAAAATAACAAACTGTCATATTTATTGTTATATTTATTGCTGTATTATTAGTAACTGGGACCAGTGCCCCCGGACCCCACCCATGTATTCATCCCTGGTGCAGACTGTGAAAATATTTCATTATAAGTAAAAGTACTGCAATGAAACCGTTATTAAGTATAGAGGTGGAATGTAACACAGTACATTTGGTACAATTATTTACATTACACCAGTGGCTTTTGATTATACACAATTTTATGCCAGTTTCTTTTAGATTTCCTATTAAATAATAAACACAGCATTAGTTTAATAAATCTCTCTGAACTATGTACGTTGATTTCTATTGTTTATCATTAACTCATGTTTGAAAATGGAATAACTTCACGTCATCTTCATCAATGTTCAGGTTGTTCAACAAACTGTCCCTGATCCATCGACTGTTCACTGTGTCTGAACCAACATCTGGAAAACCACTGCAGTTCAGCTACAGTCTCACAATATTCTACAACACTGACGGCTCCGGATGGCCCAGTGCTGCAGTTCTGACCACACAGATCACTGAAGCTGATCCAAACCCTGTGGCCCCTCATCACACCTATGTGTTATAACATGGGAAGCAGCCACAGAACATCTTCTTGAAGGGGTTGTTTTTATCCGATGCAGTGGCTTTATCCAGCTGGGCTGATGCCTCCTGAACGGCCACGTCAGCACTTTGGACACTTTTCTGGATGCTTTCGAAGGAGGTCCCCTGGTCCTCTATGAGCAGGGCCACATCCAGGAACAGCTCCTGGATCCCCTCCATCCTCTTCTGCAACTCCAGCAGCTCCTTGTGACGACTCTCGATCTGCAGTAAGGCAGAGCGGGCCGTTTTGCCCTCCACCTGGACGCTGAACACGTTCAACTCCTCGCCCTCCATCATCTCTTCCAGCTGCTCCTCGCTCACCTCCCTGCCCACCACCTCCATCTGCCTCTGGATCTGACGTTTACAAGCATCCCTGTGGCTCATCTCTGTGTTGTTGTAGCTGGACATAGCCTCCTGCAGAGCACTGCTCAGACACTGGTACTGTGTCCGAGCGATCCGCGCTGTGGAGTCAGAGCTGCCACGCTGATCCTCCAGTTCCCCTCTGAGAGCGTTCATCATGTGCAGCCGCTGCAGAACACCTTCTCCTCTGCGTTTAATATCTGCCCCGATTGCATTGGAGTCTCGCTTGTTAGCAGTGGTGTGTGTGGTTTTGTTTAGGGCCTGGTAGTTCACATCTTTCAGCTCAGTGATGTCGTTGTGGATCTGCTGGATCTCCAGACGTATCTCTTGGGCCTCCTGCAGGACACCATCCAGGTCCTGGCCACAGTGTGATCCTGCGGCCTCTGGTCCTGACAGGTCCTCCAGCTCCACTCCACTGAAACCCTCAGAGTCACTCTGCACCTGATGAAGGTGTATTAGCCTGTCCCTCATGTCTGAGAGCGAGAGGACAAAGAAGGAGAACATATTTTAATTTAGTTACATGGGCGTGAAAATCACAAGATTTGGAAGAATTAAACCCTGAAATACTACAATTTTGTGGCCACTGGCAGCAGAAGCGGAAAGAGGCATGAATATTATGACTCTAACACCCAGTGAACTGTACAGACGTTTCAGTCCATGTTCAATTCCACACAGTGCAGAATGAGGTACACATATACTGGTTCACCTTATACATAGTTTTCTTTTTCACTGTTTGTACATTCCTGCAAAATGTGAAATCTAGACGTTTGAAATCTAGACTACGGTCTGAATCTTTATTTTTCTTAATTCTGTTTGCCAGACCTCATCTGCTTCATTTTGCCCATTTGAATCTTCTGTGCAGAAGATAGAAACTGACAAGTGAAATTAAAAATGTACTCTGGCAGATTAACATCTGGGTGTACAAATGAAAGACAAAACTATTTAAATGAATACATCAAAAGTCTCATTAGACCCAAACAAGCGTGGACTTGTTCGAGTGCTAAGTCTCCTGAGCAGAGCAAGACCGAAGGCGCCGACTGGATTCAGTCGAGCACGTCGTCTGCTGCTAAACAGCAAGAAAACAATACGCACAACAGGCTTTTCAATATCTTGCTTTTCAGTATCATGTAATTTTAGATGATCCGCCAGGTCATTTAATCTGGTTAATGACTGACCAAACAAGTTTTTAAAGCAGGAAAGTATAGTGTGAGAGTATTTTAAAGTACTTTAACTGCAAATCCTTCATGGGAAAGAATAAACAGGCAACATTTCAGATCCGACGTAAACTACCACCCAAATAACAAAATATCAAAAAGTAGCAGAATTATTGCCCTTACTTGTAAGTTATCTAAAGATGGTTTCTTCACCTTCTGTTGCACAAGCTGATCATAGAAATCCAATGGGACGTGTGACGGCTGCACACATTTTGTAAAATTTTTATTTAAATGTTAACCATCAGTGAGAAACCGGTTTCAAGAGGAAAGGTTTTTCAGAAACAAAACTTTCTGCATTCCTCTAGTGTCACATGTAGGCATCGAGTGACGTACAGTTAGATAAAGCATGGCAAAGATTCATCGCAAAGATGAATGATAAATCGGCATTTTCTACATATTCTCAGGTCAGCTGTTACAGTCCCACACTTGTGTTTTTGTATGAAAACATATGGTGGACGGTTGATAAAAGAGAACAGTGCAACGAAGAAATATAAAAGAAAATGTGTATGATCAAAGTCACAAAGTCAGGAATCATCACACACTGACACAGAGGGCAGGAAGTATTTCAGCTATGTTGTCTTCTAAAGGGGCGGGACTGAAGCCTGCGTACGAGATAATAAACAATAAAGTTGTGCAGACATCAACTCTTCTTTGCCACCGTTACAGACAGCGATCGAAGCCGACTTTCAGTTTCATGAACAAATCAAAGGGAAACCACCAACTGTCAAGTGGCTGCAAGACGGGCTGCCAGAAGAAGAAGCTGAACTAAATCTGAATGATTGAAATGTTGAGGTGATGAGTCGGTATTTCCACAGTCAGCGATGGGTTAGTAATTTCCCATCAGCCTCTGTGAGTTTGAGTCATTGTGGCTTTGTCTCTCGAAGGGGATTTTTTATTTTAGGAAGTTTGATGTGTCATTCACTCCTTCAGTGTTCAGCTCTGACATATGACCCCCCCCCCATCTCCCAATAAACCACGACACCAGCAGTAAGCTGTCTATTTCACAGTTTTAGACCTAGCATGTCACAGTTTACCTGTTTATCTATAAGCACAAAAACCATAACATAGAAACACCAGTTGCAAAATGTGAAATACTTGAGTAAAACAAGATATTCTAAATCAGAGAATACATTTATCTCTAATTTGTATATGTTCTTTGTATTAAAAGTACATTTATTGTAAGCATGGTACCTAAGTGTAATATTGTCCTTTACTTGCATCCTCTACATCTCCATTATTGCATTATTCAAGATTAAACCCACAAAAAAAAAAAAACGTTGTCTTGTGTCCTTTTACAAAGTTAACATTTGTTTCGCAAATCAATTACTATTTTTGATCCAAAGTGGCAAAATAAACAAATTTATAGAGATTTCCAAGTAGAGCTTTATTTTTGCCTTCTTCCCTCGTCACCTGATTCACCCTCAGATTTAGCTTGTGACTCGCTAAAAAGGAGAATCTCCTCCTTTAATAAATGGACTAAACCAAGTTAAAACCTGGTATAGCACTAAAATGCTGCTCACAGGCTCCTTCAAACTTCAAACATTTTGCTGAAAATACTTTTCTACACTCTAATTTACTATCCTGTTCTGAACGCACTTGTAGAATCTGTATCTGTAAATTGAGTATTCATTGTGCCCAGCAGATGTCAGTGGTACAACAGTAGTATCCTTTGACTGTTCCTTTTCTCTGGTAAATAAAGGTTTAAAAAATGACGGCAATTTGCACTGAATTCAATTCGATGCAACTTTACTTATTTATGTTAGAGCTGTTATATGCAACAGCTCAAAAACCAGATCAACAAATAACAGAAGAATACAGTTACTCAGATAACTATTTAAAAAAATAGATATAGATGGATATATGGAAAGATAGACAGATAGATGATCGATAGATGGTAGATAAATGATGGATAGATGGTAGACAGATAGATGATAGATCAAATTTAAGCAGTTCCTGTAAAAAAAGTTGTGTAACAAACAGTTCCAATGAAAATATTTAAAACGAAGCATTCAATTACATTTTGTTGATTTTTATCACCAAACTCAGCCCTGAAAAAATCACAAGTTGAAAGTTCTTGTTTAAATCTAGTTATTTCTTTTTGGTCAGCTGGCTCTGATTGAAGCAGCATGTTTTTTTTAAATACATAAACTGTGTTTCGTGAGCTTCACATGTCGTCTCCCTGGTTCACTAGTCAGCAACTGAGCATGTGATCTAACTTGGCCTCCATCCCTCAGTGCTGCATTGATAACTGTTTATTGTGAATGTTCCATGAATATAAAGGATTCTTAATTAAATCACGTAATTGCCACAAGAAAACCTCTTGCAAGTTTTTCTGCAGTGTGTGTGTTGGCACAAAATGTTATTACGTGATCAGAGAAATATATATATTTGCATTTTCTTCATGGCTCAACAACAACACTATAACTCTCTCGTGTCACTGCTGTTCTCTTATGTGCCACGTTTATAAAAATGTTTGCATATCTGATTGTCAGATGATTATCTCTGTAACGTGGCATGATTAATCTAATTTGTGAAGTTTTTCTTTTGCAGACAAGAATCACAACAGTGTTATTGAAGTGAAGTGGACTGATTTCATTTCCACATACTGTCAAAATTCAAATAGAAAACAATATCACAAGTCTGCTGTTCCTCATGTTTTCTTATCCAATTTCATGTACAGAGCAAGACACTTTGGCAAAGCATAAAAAGGAGGATGCATTCATGTGATTTCAGTTTCTTTCATAAACTTATATTTGATGCACTGATGCAAAAAAAAAAAAAAGTTGGAACATGTACCCACATGCAGACGGACTCAGAGAGAACCCCTGCATGTTATTCCATTACATTGCATCAGGCCTCCAGAGTTAGGCTTCAGTAATCAGTGGAGAAAACATCAGCTGTTTTCAGTTATCCAAAGTTGTGACTCGAATTAATTCAGCTTATTAGCGCCGTGCTGAGGCTCACATAACAGCACCAGTGTGTCCAAGCATTTGATCGAATTAACATGAATGTCTGTCATGGGTTTGGACATGTTACTCTGCTCCCACTGTTTCCCAAGGTCTCACTTTGTTCAACTGTGGCTCATCAGTGTTCAGTAAACCTGTCCTCAGCTTTACCACCCGGTCAATGAGGGAGGTCAGTGCAGGTATACATGCTGGAGATTAGGCGTCTTATAATGCACTGTTTCATTTTTATTTTTGCTAATTTCTTATTAAAAGGTCGAGCTTTTCCAGTTGACTTTCTTCAAGTTCGGACAACTTATCAGTTTTATGTGTTGTCCTGTCTTGATTCCGCCCACATGTCTCAATTTAATATCCAAATCATGTTAAGACTGTTTTGCTCCGGAGCTGCACTTGACCAGTTAGTTAGATTTCCATTTTCATGAGAAAACTCTGTGCTTGACTCCACAATCATCTTAATTTCACGCTGATATATTATTTTATTGCAATTACACAGTATCATTGGCTAATCAGCAAATATACCTTAAAACCCAAAGACATCAACAACCATTGAAATATCAGGTGAAATGGCTGAAAAGTGAATCGTTCGGTGTAACTTACTTCACGAGTTTAATGAAATCTCTCATTGCCTTGTCTGATGCTTGTGTCCTGACCTGACCTGCAAAACACACAAACATTTGGTTCTGAAATAAATGACACAACTTAACATAAAGTTGGAACTTCATCAAATAATCCTATATATCACAGATTAATGAATCAGTTTGAATAATATAGTCAACTATTTACTGTTTTTACTACTCCTCCAGATTTTGGAACCACTTCCTAATAAGGCATCCTTTAAACAGTGCTATAGTTGTGACTAATAAATGCTTTACAGATGACTGAAGAGAGGCAATAATGAGGAAATATTTGGGATAAGACATCAAGTCTGCAGTTGTATGTCATTAATCAAATATTTTGACCTATAAGTTGTAAGAACTTAAATAATTTTTGGTCCAGAAAAGTTGAGGGCTTTGGTTAATGATTTATTATTGTTCATAAATGTATTCATTACAGTTTATAAGGCCTATATAAAGGGTGTCATATTGGAAAGTACCTGTTTTTATAACCAAACAAGCCTTATGCTCATTTCTCTGAAGCATTTACAGCTTAAACGTAGATCAATAGTAACAATTACTCCATTTCTAACATTGCATTTATTGCAAAGATCAAATTTCTGTGTGTGTTTTATATCATTCCTGTTATGTTATGATAAACATGTACAGAGAAGATGATCCAGAAAACTCTGTGGTTTCCT